AATAATAATATTCAATTGCACAAATTACAACAAAGGTTTTACACATTGGATAACAATTGCCATTACTATGGCAACCTCGTTTTTTTGATGTGGGCAGCTAGTAGTTATGTCCCATTCCCGCATGATGGCTTTTTCCAATTTATTTATTCCCCAAGTTTAATAGCGTGAAAATATATAGCCTAAAGCGTGACGTAAGTGTAGTACTTTGTAATAAAAAAGGATTATTTTAAAATATACTGTGATTGCTGACATGACACCCTACTTAACAAAGTAGTGAGTATATACACTTTATTATAATAGAATAAATACATATATACATAGACACGTAAAGCAAGGTATTTAGCAAAGGTTGTATTACCTTGAAGAGCAGCGTGTGCAGCACGTTGCCCTGCGCGTCGGCGCGCCACAGTCGGAGGCCGGCGCGCGCGCAGTACGCGGCCGCGCCGCCGCCGCGCGCGTACGAGTGCTGGAACACCGCGCCCAGCCGGCACAGGCTGCCGCAGTAACATAAACGATTGGAGCTAATTTCATTTTGAATTACAACTAGTTGTTACCCGCGACTTCGTCCACATGAAATTTAAAAATAATAAAAAATGTAGCCTATGTTACTCACTGATAACGAAGCTTTTTAATGGTGTAAGAATTTTTAAAATCGGTCCAGTAATTTTGGAGTTATTTTAATAAATAAAAAATACAAATATTTCCTCCCTAAAATACTAATACAAGTAGATAAATAGTAAACGCAAATTAAATTTTAAGTTTTTAAAGTATTAATTTTCTTTGTAATAAATGATAAAAAAATCTACGATGCAATTTAAGTAGCACAGACGAAAGTACATTTGTCTCTTTCTCTCAGACTCACCTCTTCCTCTCCTTCTTGCCGAGCTGGCTGACGTGCCAGCGCGCGTCGCGGCGCTCGCAGAGTATAGTGCGGTACAGACTGGACACCAGCAAACTGTTCTGGTGGTAACTCATCTGTACTATCTCATACTCTTCATTCACTATTTCCATTGACTTGCATAAGTGCTGGAAAAAATCATCAATTTGTAACGTTGTTTAAAATTATACAAATAACAAAATTAAATAACAACGCATAATACATATTGTGTCATTTAAACCTTTGGCATAAAGTTGTTATGTTTCATAAATATGTCATATTATGTTATGAAAACAACAATTACCACTATCTCAGTGCAACGCTCTACCACTATCTATGTAACTCCACTATATACATTTGTAATTGTTATGATAAAAAAATACATGTAAACAATAATTATTCATATTTGTTTTTTATTACAACATCAAAACAAACACCTGCTATCCATCAACAAACAAGACTTGATTCATTAACATTTTTTATTCAGGAATTTATAACCAATTGGAATAGTGTTTTTAAATTTTAGGGAACTCTATATAATTGTTGTTGCTATGTCATTAATCAGGACAAAACTTGATAATACAGAGTACATATTTAACATAGTCCATTGTAATTAGATAACTGTAACTAACAGACAATATAAATGTAAAATAAATACATTACTAGTGATAATAAAAACACACTACAAAATATTTCAAAGTCAGAACATTGTAAATTAATTTTGTACATTCACTGCATAATAAAGTGATTCAGTTTCCTTTAATCCTTTTTTTTATATTTAGTACTCAACTTTATATGCAAATACAAATGGATAGATTATTTCCTTTTGTATAGACAAGACAATAACATTTGACCACTCTATTAAGATAGAGTTTTTAAACATTACTGATGCCATTTTAAATTGCAGTAATGCAACATGTTGAGAGCTCACCATATAGAAGTCAATCTCAGTCATAATGATGATGCCACTCTTGTCTCCGGAGAACAGCCGCATGCCATTCTTTGACCACTCTATAGACGTGATTTTACTCTTGTGGAGATCGCCAATCGTGTACCTGACATACAGACATTATTAAATTGTATTTCCTTATCTATATCTATACTTACATTATGAAAGATTTGAATTTTTTGTATGTAGTGAAATAACTCAAAAACCACTGGACCGATTTTAAAAATTCTTTCACAGTGAGAAAGTTAATTTATCTGCAAGTAATATACTTTTTTATTGTATTTTTAATTTGCACGCGGGCGAAGTAGCGAGCAACAGCTAGTAGTTTATACTTTGTTTCACTTACACACTTACCTATAAAAACCACACAAAGTAAAATGTATAGTTTATCAGGCCTCTAATATCGGTTATTTTTCCAAAATAGATAAATACAGCAATAGTTATCACCTCACCTTTCCACCTTTGGCTCGACCTTTGGTTTTAGTGTGTCCGGAATGTTCTCTGGATGCTCTTTGGGGATCTGGAAGACGGTGACCTGACCCGCAGCGTTACCAGCGCCCACCATATAGTCAACTGTGCTTACTATCTTCACAAATGTTATGGGGGACGTAGACGCCTGAATTAATTTTGTTTATTGAAAAAAAAGTAATCTATACTGTAAATATAAAGAGGAAAGATTAATATTTTTGTATGTATTGAAGTAACTCAAAAACTACTGGGCCGATTTTACAAATTGTTTTAATGTTAAAAAGGTAATTTATCGGTAACATAGGCTATACCTTTCTTTACTTCTTTGTTTCACTGGGACAAAGTCACGAGCAACAGCTAGTTTATAATATACTGAATATTTTACCGTGATTTGATGGTTATCATTTCAATAAACAGTATACATATTTAATTAATCTAACTAATATTATAAATGCGAAAGTTTAGATGGATGGATGGATATCCATCCGTCCATCCATCTAAACATATCCATCCAGATGGATGTGGATCCATCCAGATGGATGTGGATCCATCCATGGATGTTTGTTAAAGTTTGTAGCCTAAATGGATGAATGGGTCTCCATGGAATTTGGCACAGGTTTAGAGTGTAGTCTGGAAGAACACATAGGGTACTTTTTATCCCGGGAATAGTTACGGTTCCCGTGGGATTCATTAATTTAGTTTTTTAATGTCTACTCGATCATTCTGCAACGGTTCAACATATCTTATTGAAATTTGGCACAGATATAAAACAAAGTCTGGAGTACACATTGGATAAGCTTCATCCCCGAGAAATGTCCGGTTCGCGAGGGTTACGTAGCTTTTTGTAATTTATATAGTTAGTATGTTTTCTAATATCACGCGGACAAAGTTGCGGGCAACAGCTCATATTAATATAATAAAAAATCTACACATAAGTGTAGACACAGAATTGAACTTGTATAAACAAGTTCAATTCTGTGTGTATCAGTTATAAAATTCCCCTTGATTTATTTACTATCATTATATATCCTCGAATTGCATTCCTTTAACTTTGTCCTCAATACAACAACCTCTTTCAGTAAACATGACTCACAGTTTCTATGAGAGGGAAATACCCGCGGACAATGCGTCGTGGTTTTGTTAGTCTAGCCACATAGATAAATATGTCTCAAAAACTACAAGGCCGATTACATAAATTCTTTCACCATTAAAAAGTTATATCTGAGTAACATGGGCTACTTTTTTACAAATTTATAATTTCACAAGGATAAAGTCGCAAGCAAAAGATAGTATTTTGAATTTGTTCTTTAAGTTTGTGGTTGAAACAAAACTACAATCAAAGCAACAAATTTTAGTGTTTAAAATCAACCATTTTATTTTAAATCTACAATCCTACTGGATCTTTAAAGAAAAAGATCTTTAAAACATTAATTTGAAAAAAAAAAAACAAATTTGCACACAATGCATATTGATATTAGAAACTGAAACATATTAAAGTTGTAAAGGCAAAGAATTTGAAGGTCAACCATAATTCTCGTAACTGTTTTGTATTCAGTTGCCAAACCAGTTTTAGACTGGTCGTTAAAACCCAAAACTTTTTGGACATTTTTTGCAACGATTACCTTAAAAACTGTACAGTGCGCTACATTAATAATACATATATAGCTTCAAAAACTTCTCACCTCTGGTTTAAAAAGCAGAGTCCTGTCCATTTACCTCTAATGATTTGATTGATGAATAAGCATACATATGTTTGAAACCAAACGCCTACATTAATTCTAAAGTTTGTAGATGTTTATGCAGCTGACTGTACATAGACAAATTAATATCAACATTAAATATAAAATCACTTGAAAATTTTGTATTGCACGAACCATTTTATATTCTCAGTATGTTGAAATAAAATGCCATTTCCTTCCACTGAACCACCAAATACTCTGTATATTTTTATATATAAGCATGCACACACCAATTTCATAAATACAGTCTAAACACTTATATATTTAGGAAACCTTTGGGAAAGGAAGTAAAATATTTTTTTGAACTGTTCACACACAGCAGATTATTTAACAATTACAGTGATTACAAAAACTTATTCGTTACTGGATATATCTTATCTCTGAATGATGTAAAATTGAGATTATAATTGTAAGCAATAGCAGTTCAAAACTGTAAAAAGTAAAGTTGTCATATGTTGTCTGTTTATTATTATCTACTTTTGCTTTTAAGTGTAATTTTATTTAGACCAATTCTGTTTATTTCAATATATATGATTTTTTTACAGGTAAAACAATAAGGTCATAATATTTTATGTTGTAATCTTCATATACCACAATGAATATGTTAATGTTTTCTACAATGATGCATATGAAATTATTAAAAAAAACCTAGTGCATTATGTATTACTTTAATAGACTAATATATACTATACACATTTGTAAAACAAACATAAGAGCACTTAGGATAGAATAAGTAGCCCAAGGTAAAAGAAAGTAAATCTGTAGTTGCTTCTTACATCATATTGAATGTATTCAGACATTTTTTCAGTTTCCTAATATTAACCTACACAGAGAAACACGCAAACATATTTCTTAATTTAAAATGTCGTACATAATATAATGATTCTTACCTCGCATCGCAATCTTTGAATGTTTCCTTTTTTCCTATCGTACCAATAAACCAAACCAACGTTTGTGCCAAGAGCTATGTATTCACTAACCGCATCAACACATGTTAAGGATAATTCCGTAGAAAATATTCCCGTTTGAATTCTAGGAGGAATTAAGTTCAAAATATGGGAACAAGGGGTCCACTCGCGAATAAATCCTTCCTCTGCACCACTAGTCACTTCCATTTTTAATCAAAATTAAAACCGTTTGTAAACAAACCGCAAAAATTAACTGAAACACATAATCGCGTTATACAGGGATTAACATCAATGCTAGTTAGTTAAATAAAATATATGTATAGCACTAGCATAACTTGTGTCGAACTTGCTTAATTATTAGACGTTTGACGTAAACTTGACAATTTTAAACTGAAATTGATTTTTTTAAAGATTATATGACCTGGATACTGGACTTTTGAGCCAAAATGAAGTTTCATTTCTTTGCCATATTTTTGAATACACCATCCAATCGTAAAGGGCCCTCACTCAGATGTGCCAACATTTTAGTTTCCCCGCTTATATTCAAATTGGTTGAACAAATGGTTAGTGGCATTCTATGTTATTTTTAATTTAGATACGTTTTTGTACTTCATTTTATTTTCTCCTTTTAATTAAATATTTTTATAAAGAATAGAATTGAATATTAATTGTTTGTCATTTACTTATTGCTCTTCTAAAATGTGATGCTACCAACATTCTAAATCTTAGTGTACACTTGTCATTTTCTTGTCAAAGTGCCACTGAAACAGTGAAGTGGTACGAGGAGAGCTATTGTGGTTTTTACATTTATTGGCACAACAATAGTTAGTAAAATGGCAGAACCTTTGACGGAAATACCGCTAAACATCGAGGAAACTGTTAAAGATGCTGTGAAAAATGTTACGGATAAACCACCAACGAGTATCGAAGGCATTGCGATCGCCTACTTGAGTTTGGTCATTATGGCTGTCTTACCCATATTTTTCGGCTCCTTTCGGTCTGTTAAATACCTCAAGGAGCAAAAGGTAAGTTCTATAACATACTTCATTTAGAGAACAATTTGAAACCACTCAAAAGATGCTATTGCAACTTATTCCAATTGCTATGTTACACGTCTTGTCATCGTGGCATTACGAAGCAATGCAGTAAATGTAGTCATAACAGATTTATGCGTTTATCACATTAATTTGACCTCATTTTATGTCAACAGTATAAGTAACCAACCATGTAACATATTTATAAGTCATAAAATTAGTAGATGAATAAAATTTCCGCAGCCTGATACTGATTCTGCAATTAACACTGCAGAAACAACGAAAAATATTCCAATCATAAGTCTCAATTGTTCTTGACTCAACTCCAATTGTTCCAGGAATCAGGGGAGAGGCACGAGACAATGTCCAACAAAGATGCTTTGATGTTCCCACTGATAGCCTCCTGTGCTCTATTCACACTTTACATCTTCTTCCAATTCTTCTCCAAGGAGTACATTAACCTCCTTCTAACAGGATACTTCTTTTTCCTTGGTGTGTTGGCATTGAGTCATCTTCTTAGGTGAGTACATTAACTTTCTATTCCAGTTAAGATCAGATAAGTTTAAAATCTATGTAATATAGAATGTGAACTAGTTGTGGAGTTACGGTAACTACAAAGTGCCAGAGACTTTAATAAAATGAAGGAAAAGGCTTGTTTGGTATACTTTTGGAGTTCTGGTAGCAAGGAACTCCCTTTACCAACCTTTATATCTTCAGTTGGTACAATTAACTATATAAATATGAAACTGACTGTACCAACTAAAGGTTACTTTACCATAGAAACCTGTAAATGCCTTCAGTTTCAAATTATTAATGCACATAATCATGAATAGCAACAATTAGTAGTCGGAATCATAAGAAGGATCCATACATTCATATTTTAAACCCAAAGTGTATACTAGTTTATGAAACGGACTGTATACAACATAACTTAAAGTGTAGAGTAAATCTCAAGTTGAGTATAAAAGATTTTTGGGATATGATAAAATTGCTGAATATAACTTTATAGATTATTTCATTAACTTGCAAAAACACCTTGTGTAACTTGTTCAAGTTAGCATGCCAAGGTCTACTCTAAGAATAAATTTCTTAGTAAATAAGATTACAAATACATTTCAATACATTATTGTATTAGTGAGTACTCAATATGTAAATTCATAAAGTAATATGATAGGCTATGTAATCTTACTAATATCTTACTTCTTACTAATATTATAAATGCGAAAGTTTAGATGGATGGATTTTTGTTAGCGTTTGTAGCCTAAATGGCTGAACGGATCTCTATGAAATTTGGCACAGGTTTAGAGCATAGTCTGGAAGAACACATAGGCTACTTTTTATCCCG